ACAATTAATAGCACAGCACCAGCCAGTCAGCAGGTACACTTACAATTGGCTTATTTGCAAGCATTGATGGTGAGACTTTCCTTTTGATCAGGGTCAGCTTTATATAGATTGGAACACTGGGGTGTTGAGTAAACGTGTTTAAGACTCTCCAATGAGTGCTGAGAGGTTAGAAAGTAGCATGGCCGTCAATGGTGCTCATGGTCCATAGCCTTCTGATCTAGTATGCTACTTAAGGATGGGGCAGTCCTACCAAGTAACATATTAATATATTAAAGAAACACATCTTGTTGGAGAAAAGACACTGCTATGATTTGTGTGGGCATTTTGGAAGCTGAGGACTCTTTAAAACTCCGACCCCTAGGAGATGAGAATTGATTTGGTGCCATCATAATTTATCAGCTTCATGCATAAAAATGTGTGGCAGCCTTCAGTTATACCTCCTCTGTCTTCTCAAAATATACCACATGTCTCCTCTAGTTAGGAATGACCCCATATCGACTTCCGATTTGGGTCTCTTCAGCGACAGACCGAAATCCGTGATCATGCGTGGTTTCGATCTGTGCTTGCCGCTGGAGCACCCTGATCCTTTGGATTCGGGGCTGAAGCCACCCTGCAGAGATGGTGAAGAGGGGGGAGATTGCTAGCCGAGTGGAGGGGAGCAGCATCTCTCCTCCTTGGCTGGTCTAAATTCCTTTCCCCGAAGGCGGTTTCAGCAGTGGTCAGAAATGGCCACCTCAAAGAAGAACCTGACTTGTGCAGGAGGAAGACAAAGAGGAAAGCAGGACAGACCGGGCTAAACAACAGAGAACATCTAAGCAAGGTACCCTGAATCTAAAAGTACCTAGAGGGATACTTCTGAAAGAAGATCTTTAAGCGGCGAAGGAGAGAGAAAAGGAGGTTAAAAACCCTTTTTTTACCTTTATATTGACAATTACAAATGGTATGGAAAGAAATTTATATTAATCTATTTTGACACTAATAGGCGACCTTAAGCTGAAATCTAAGTGTCAAAAGGAGAATAAAAAAATTTTCTTGGTCATTTTAAAGCCCTAAAAAGGAGAAGACTGGAGGCAAAAGGGTGGGACTTGGAATAGTGGAAAAATGGAGTGCCACCTGGAAAAATAAAGAGGATTAACACTGAAACTTTGAAAAGACTCCCGAGGATACATTGTCACTGAAACCTTATTAAAAGATACAGTAACCCATGGAAAGGAAAAGGAAAGGAAAGAAACAAGAAGGAACAGTCTGGGATCATTTGGCATTGATTTTTTCTTTCTTTTTCTGTTTTTACTTAAAGTCAATTGGGTGGTTGTTCAAAAGTGTTTAAAATGCCATCACTCCTGGAGGAATTGAAGATGAGTCTTAAAAAACAGAAAGAAGATGCAGAAAGGGGAGGAAGATCCTTTGGCTTCGTATTTGAATTTTTTGAAATGGAGATCCTGAACTATGAAAAGCAAAAGGAAAAGCTTCAAGAGCAGGAAGAAGGGCGGGACAAAGAAGAAGCCATTTTCAATGATCAAATAATGCAAAGTGTAGTAATAAGGGGGAAAAGGGGGAAAGGAGTTAAAAGTTTGAGATCAGAGGGAACAGCCAAAAAGAAAAATAGTCTGAAAAAGAAGTATAACAGCAAGGAGAAGCAGAAAAGAAAACTACAGAAGGGAAAATTAGAGAGAGAAGGGTATAAAAGAAGAGATGAGAAAAAGGGGGGAAAAGAAGGAAAGAAGTTATGAGGGACAAAAAGAGGAAATAAAGAAAAAGGGGAAACATACTAGGATTAAAGGTATTTGCTCAGCTAGAAAACACAGACAATGGTTAAATTAAGTTAAAGTGAGGATTCTGCAAAGGTACAAAAGATAGTGTTGTGACAGTAGAATACTGTAATGAGTTAGAAATGAAATAAGTAAATAATCTATGAGATAAAACTATTGTTATGTAATGGTATGTTTATTTATAATTAATGCAATAATAAAGAAGAGAGGGAAACATTGCAGTTGTTTCTAAAGATTGATAAAATATTGAAAAGAAATGTGACAGATTTATAAGGAAATTTATACCAGTTATTAGAATGAATTTGAATAATTATTTTGCTTATTAATAGTAAATAATTTATAAGATAAAACTGTATGACTATCCAATGGTATGCTTATTAACAGTTAAGTAATAATGAAGAAGGGAGGGAAACATTTCAATTGTTCTCAAAGATCGATAGATATTGAAAAGAAAATGAAAGATTTACAAGGTTCATACCAGTACTAGAATGATTTTGAATAACTTTTGTTTACTAATGTTTATATATGTATATATTAGAAATTTGAATGTTATAATTTTAGAATGTACAAATTCAATGTTTAATGAGATTTCATATGATAATAACAATAAGATTTAAAGGTGTTGCATTTCAATTGGCAATCGTAGGGGGAATTTTGCTTCTTAAGAATGTTGGAAGAGAACATTGAAATTGTAAACAAGACAGACAAAAGTATAAGTACAATGAATAAAAAGATACAGAAATTTAGGTAAAAGAAATACAATTGAATAAGAAGAAAATGAGATAACCATAAAAGAAAATTAAGAAAAGTAAAGGGAGAAATAGTGAGAAGTTGGAAAAAGAGTAATAAGATATGAAGTTGAATACATAAGATGAATATGCATATGAAATTGTGTCTGTATGGAAATGTGATAACCCGGAACGATGCTGTACTCAAATAAGATGTTTTATTTGTTTTGTTAAAACTCAATAAAACTTAATTTTTTTTAAAAAAAGGCATGACCCCATATTATTTTTTCAGTTGGCAGATAGTTCTTTGCCTTCTATAGCTGTTGTAACAGCTTATCAGAGTATCATCCTTTTGAAAGCTAGAAATGAAGCAATAGCTAAAGAAGGCCTAGAATTGATCCAATTCCTTTTTTGCTGTCCAGTCATACTATGGAATCTCTGTAGCTACTGGACTAATCAGATAACATTTCCCTATGGATTTACTGGCACTAAGTGACATAGCTTTCGGATTGAATTCCAAAGAGATCATGAACTATTATTATGGCCTGTGGTAGCATCAAGTCAATGTTATAGTTGTTTGATACATCCATTCATTCTGAAGGAGATTGTGTTTCTAATAACTGTATCGACACTTCGGTGCTTCAGGTGTCAGCTTTGAGTTGTGAATGAGTGTTAAAATAAAGTTTTTGACCTACTTTGTCATCTGTGCATATAGAATAAATTTTGACTTGTGAAAGAGCTCTTAGACATTTGCAAAGTGTCAAGAAATCTTCATTGCCTCTGTGGTTTTTTTGTAATTTGATGTTTCAATTTTCTTTCCTTCTGATTTTCAGTAATATTACATTTTCCTTTGTTTACATTCCACAGCTGCCTTCTCAAGGGTTTTCCCCTTATATAAAAATGACCTAGTTTGAGTTAATTATTGCCCTATCTGCTATTGCAAAGTTTAATTTACGGCTGAAATTATACTTTATTCTGATCAGGACTGGGTTGTTCTTGAAATTCTCCCTCCTCTACAGTTTGTGGGTTTTGGACCATTGTAGGTTTGCTGATGAAATTGGCAGAATTCCCCCCCGCCCATGTATTTTAGTGAGATTCTGTTGTACTTTTCCTAAACCAGGGCTGTCAAACTTGTGGCCTGCTGGCCAGATGTATCACTCGCTGGCCACACCCATGCCCAGTTTAATGAAGGGAAAAAAGTCGTGATATGTCATGTGGAGCTGCCGTGATGACATGAGTCTGTCACTCCTTTTCTAAATGTTTATATATAATGTAACACATTAGAAGCTATCTATTTCAAATTATTTGGGGCTCAGGGGATTATTATCTAGATCCACCCCATTTTTGTTGACTTCGTTCACTTCTTAGACCTGGCCTCATCACCTTCAGTGTGGCCTCCATCATGACACAGAACAGCCCTTACCTGGAAAAAAAAGTTGTCCACCCTCATCTAGACTGGGGATCTTCAAATACCCTTTCTTTTTTTAGGGAAATCTTTCATACTGATTGAACTCTGTTGAAGAACCTCAACACAATGCCTAGGTTGGTGGGACAAGCCCCAAATTCAGACGGGACATTCATCAGCTTACAAGGCACCCAACTTTCTCCCAGCAGTAGTAGCCAGAGCTTATATTAGACCATTGTTCTATTCCCACATGTTTTTCTAAGTTTCTAGTCATGTCACATCCAGCTTAACTGGCCTGCTGTTAATTTAATGGCACAGTGGGGAAAAATCCCTCTCAATGTCAGCCTGTTGTTTTTGATGCATGGCTGCTGCTAGCATCCAGTTCCAAGTGGGTTGCCAGCAGCAGACTAGATATAACTGAATGAGCCAACAGGAAATATTACAATGGAGAGAAAAAGGGATATTCCAGGTAACAATCAGTTTGACAGCAAGTTTCCACACTTACTGGTGATCTGGCACATTCTGCAATTCTTTGTCAGTCCCAGGTTATACTCCTACCTCTGGGATATTTCATTCAGATAAAGATATGTGGCTTTAAAAACCTTGAGACCTGGCTTTGGATTTTTTAATTTTGTATGAGTTCTTTACTATGTCCACCCCTATTTTAATGTTTATTTATGTATTTAATTGCATTTGTATCCTGGAGCGATCGACTGGAAGGTTTATTGATGGGCAACACTTCAGACTCTTTGTGGCCTACCCTGGATTGTAGAAACTGCATAATAATTAAGTAAAACTGCTCTATGACATGTTGAAGGAAGGTTTCTTCTTTACAACTTAGATTTTCAGTATCTTATGTGCCAACTTCGTCTGGGCTAATAAGATTCAGAATATCACTAGATGACAACTAAGATGGGGTGGAGGGGGGGGGAGTTACAGTGTGGCTGACATTTTGTGATTGTAGCCTTATCTTATTAGGAGTATGACATATCTGCTAAAAAATGACTACAAGAGAGAAGGTGAGTAGATGTAGTTTTGCTCCACAGAGGTGAAGAGTTTGCAGTTAGTGATGACAGATGTCTTTGTCCATGCAGGAATTCTCTGGTGCCCCATTGTACCCCGATGCTTTGGGGAATGAGCACCTGTGGAAGGAAGGCGCTGACTCTGCTCAGCAGTGTCTTTGCTGTGAGCGGACTGGGATTTCTGGGGATTGCAGTGAGCACCGACTACTGGCTGTATCTGGAGGAAGGGATCATCCTGCCCCAAAACCAAAGTACCGAAATCAAGATGTCTCTGCATTCTGGCCTCTGGAGGGTTTGCTTTTTGGCAGGTATGGTGCTTTGGGCAAAAGTAAATCTGGCTTTCCTCATGCTTCTATTCTTCATGCCTTAAAAGTATTGAAAGGATTAGGAAATGTTCCCCTAAGATTTAATTTAATTTATATGAATGGTTATGAAATAGTTCTCTTTTTTTAATGCATGTCCACATTAACATGGCTAGCTTATTTTAAATGGATAGCTTATTTTAAAGACAGGGAATTCTCCATTAAATGGTTTGGAATGAATTATATCTGACACACAATGTAGGTTGCACATAGATGCAGACAGAATCATTATATCAGGCATGTCAAACTCGATTTCATTGACGCCTGCATCAGGGTTGTGTCTGACCTCAGGAGGCCAGGGTGGGTGTGGTCAGCTCAACGTCACTCATGTTGGGGACACCTGTGGTGGCCCGAGTGCTCTGTGAGCGAAAACGGGTTCCCAAGCTTCGACTTTGGCTAGACGGCCTCCTGCAACCCTCTGCCACAGCTGAGCTCCATTTTCGCTGGCAGAGGCACTGTGGGCTATTCCTTCGCTGTTTCCAGGACGGTCCCTTGGGCCAGATCTAAGCACCCTGCAGGCTGCATCCAGCCCCCAGGCGTTGAGTTTGACACCCCTGCAATATACGAATACAAATCTACCTGTTAGAAAAATCCATCCAGAAAGGTCTATAGGTAATCTGTGACTACAGTTGACCCCCAAATTTATGTTGCTAAGCAAGACAGTTATTAAGTGAGTTTTGCCCCATATTACGATCTTTCTTACCACTGTTAAGTGAATCACTGTAGTTAAGTTAGTAATGGTTTTTAAACAAATCTGGCTTCCTCAAAGCCTGCTCATCAGAAAGTCGCAAAAGGTGATCACATGACCCCAAAGGTCACAAAAGATCACATGACTGTAATCATAAATACATGTCAGTTACCAAATTTTGATCACGTGATTAGGGAGATGCTGCAACAGTTACCAAATGTGAAAAATGGTCAATAAGTCATTTTCAGTGCTGTTGTAATTTTGAACCGTCACTAAATGAATGATTGTAAGTTGAGGAGTATTTGTAGTTAGGAGAAAGAGGAGGGAACAACTAATAAGAGGATCAGGACCAGGACCAGATTCCCGTGTAGTAAGTTCTCAATCATCTCTAGCAGAGGTGATATTCAGCAGGTTCTGACCAGTTCTGGAGAACTGGTAGCAGAAATTTTGAGTAGTTCGGAGAACCGGCAAATACCACCTCTGACTGGAGATTTTACAGTATCCTTCCCCTGCCACGCCCACCAAACCACACCCACAGAACCCGTAGTAAAAAAAAATTGAATCCCACCACTGATCTCTAGTCTCGACCTTTGCTCTCTTTAGGGTGCCAGTTCTATAATGAATGGTAGGAATACCACAGTCCAGACTCAGTGAGTTGCCCAGCTAGGTGAATGGCATTCAGGATCCTTTCAAGAGCTAATTGTCCATAGTTGAGCCAGAAATCCAAAAAGAAGAAGAAAGTGATGCCCTGCCTTGCATGTATTAGCTGTGATTAGAAAGATGAAACAATAATAAATGTCACAGCCCCAGAATTCACCTGAATCAGAAAAATGTCTAAGTATATACAAATCATCATCTTTTGCTCATTAGAAGCCCTGTTTAAGTGGCAGATTTTTGGAGACGCAATATGTGCAGTTAGCACTTGCGTGGATGTGTGAGTTGCTTTTTAAAAGTAAGGGGGAGATTTGGGGGGGGGGGGGGCGCTATTTGATTTAGAACTCTTATGGAGAGGAGAGAGTTTAATTAGGTTGCTTCCTCTGGAGTTCTGATGTGGACAGGAGGCTCGTGCCTGCATTTGGCACTCTAAGAAAAGCTTCGGTTGAGACCACTGTAGGACTTTTCTTCAGAGCAAATTTACTTATAGATCTGTTTACAAGTGTGGAGAGAAATAATATGGTTTAGGACTTTGGTGGGACAGAGAAACAATTAAAGGCCTCCTGTGCTCAAAACAAAGAGCAGAGAATAATAGGGTTGGAAGGGATCTTGAAGGCCTCCTAGTCCAAACCCCTAGTTGAGCAGACATTCTGGACAAATGGCTGCCCAGTTTCTTCTGGAAACCTCCAGTGATGGAGCACCGACAACTTCTGAAGGCAGGCCGTTCCATTGGTTAATTGTTCTCACAGTCTGGAAATTCTTCCTGAGTTCTAGGTTGGATCACTCTCTGATAAGTTTCTTTCAGTTGCTTCTTGTCCTACAAGGAGAACAAAGGGCTTTGAGGTCCATTTTCTCTTCTCCATGACAGCCCCTCAAATATTGGAAGACCACTATCCTATCTCCCATAGTCCTCTTCATAAACCAGACATACCCAGTTCTCTCAATCATTCATTAACTCTGTAGTTTTCATTCTTTTTATTTTTTTAGCTCTAGGGGAATCCCTATCCCACAATCCCTTACAAAGCAGTGAATCCATGTTCTCTGAGAGCATATGCAGCAAAGACAAATTCCTTGTGTATCTAATCAAACTTGGACGATAAAGAATTCTATTCTATTCTATTCTATTCTATTCTATTCTATTCTATTCTATTCTATTCTATTCTATTCTATTCTATTC